TCCTGCTGATGAACAAAACCCAATATTATTCTCCCTATCACATGCATTTGAAGAGATCAAGACTAATAATTGCAATGTGGCGTGATTGGTCAAAGGGAACGACTTTCACATATATGTAGCGTTATGACGCAAAATCAGGGTTACTTACAGTGTCCTGACAGTGCTCTTGTGACCTGTTCGCTGTATCCTCTGGCCCAGAGTATGCCTTTAACACGAACAACACAATCTGAATGAGGGCTAAGAAACTACGTATAATCTCGTAAGATTGACGATCAACCTTAAACATAAACTCACCTTCCTTTTCTTATGAACTTTCTTTTTCTTCGACGATCTCGATGTACTATCCAGCAGATCTTCACCTCCTTCGTCAAAATGTCTAGATGTCATTAACCTGCTTGGTTCCGGAGGAAACTTGGCAGAATTGTTCACTCTGACACAGTGAGTCAAGGTTTCTTCCAACACCTTAAAAGCAGTCTTATATGCTTCATCTGACAAAGACGCCACTTCCCCTAGCTTGACAAAACGTCTACAAAGATCATCAAAACGTGCCATCCGGCTGTGTATACTGTCACATTTTCCGTTTCTGTTATCACTGGTGTTACCATTCTTTGACCAACGCTTCAATATATACTGGGACGGGATGCTTGAAACATCCGAGGTTTGAAGAACAAGGATTGCATGTTTGCAGAGGAAGCCCCAGAGCTCGAACAAATGACAAGAGCAATGCACATCCAACAGCTCCTTGTTCCAAACCACATAGAAATTTTCACGTTCTTCGAAATCTTCGACATGGAATATCACATTTGTCCCATCTTTTCTTTCTACGTGCAGCTGACAAGAAACAACTCCAAGTACCTCAGCTTGGAACTTCTTGAAAGCAGAGTCTGTGTAGGTCAAAGAAAGTTGTTTCTCAAAAGGTGAAAGTGATCTCAATGTAGGCTGTCTGCTTTGAGATTCAAGATCAAACCTTTCTTCCACATCACATGTGTCTCGCAGAAAATTCGTATACTGTATAAAGAAGTCCTTGAACGTAGCTTCTGAATCCATATGTTTATCAAAGCGAGAGGCAATACTCCCGGACTTTTCATGACCAGACATTCCGGCTAAACAAATACCCTGAAAATAGTGTGGTGCCCACTTTTTTCGATCATTAAACAACGAAAGAACCCATTCGTTGCGATTGAGTTCAAATTTACCAACCATTTCTGACCACCTCCTTTCAAATTGCTCATCTGTCCAAGAGCCATGAATACATTCTCGAAAACTTTTCATGAAATCGTCATATTGATCCACAAAAGAAATCAACTTCTCAGGAAGCTCACCCAGCAAATTCCATAAACAGAAACAGTGACGAGCAGTGGGCAAGATTTCCATAATGACTTCGCTTAGAAGCTTGTCCTGATATGTTATAATCACTTTAGGAGCCTGACCACCTATTGCTTTGAGCCATGTCCGAAATAACCAGGAAAATGTAGATGCACTCTCTTCTCCAATTAAAGCACACCCAAGCAAAACGTACTGACAGTGATGACTGACTCCAACAAAAGGAGCAAATGGAACTTTGTATCCGTTCCTAACATAAAATGTATCGAATAGGACAACATCTGAAAAGCTGTCGTAGCAGTGCTTGGCCTTTGAATCGAGCCAAAAGACATTTCTTACATGTTTCTCACCATCCAAATCTATTGCATAGAAGAAACCTGGCTGCTGTTCCTGCATAGCCATGAAATGATCAAGCATTAAATTTATGTCTTCCACTTCTAGAGCCAATTGAAGGCCTTTCTTTTGATGTACTACATCACCAGCCTGCTTCTTTTTTCCTCCGACACCAATATAAAAATCATCTGGACAAATCTCATGGTTATGTTCTTTCACGAAATTACAGATAACCCATTTCTCATCTTCCTTCCTCTTCATATGCATCCCTGCCTTGCAACCCGTTTTTGGGCATGACCTTGGGTTTACACCTGTGCCAGGCTGACGCTTAGCTCCGAATCTTGAACATGCTATTTTCACATCAATAAACTTTCCAGATTTTTTTGAGCGCCGACTGGCTTTTATCGTGATCCCAAATCCAACAGATCGAGCGTATTCCCTGTAGAAATAGTAAGCAGCCTCTTTCGAGTCAAACTCCAAACCATTTCTAGGTTCGTTAATGGCACCACCATTGACATCATCGACAGTTGCAAACTGCTCTAGACTGCCACCAATGCTGCCACTTGTGCTCGGCTCACAAATTTCAATCGCATTACCACTTCTCGTTGGAAGATCCATTTCAACATCACGAACATCCATTCCATCCAAACTATCACCGCCATCGGCATTCACATTTGATCCACTGTCCAAGGTCCGATCATACGAAGGAATTTCAAGATCTATCTCCATAGCATATAACAGAATTTATCTCAACAAGGACATGATTTCCTGGTAAAACCGAGGATTGCAAATGACAAATGAGTAAATGGCACCAAACTCCAGAAGACAATGTCCCATAAAAAAACAGTGAAGTAGATAATCTTGTGCGGACACCGCACTACACATCTAAAAGAACAAACTAGCTCCAACTGTCTTAACCTAAGATGATCGACTAGCCCAACTTCGAAATTCCAATGTGGCTTTCAAGAACTAAACTACGCAGAAATTTTTAGAAGACATCGCCTTGGGTTTATTTTGGAAGACATCGTCTTCTAAAAGAAATCTCAGGTTTGTTAAATCCTGAATCCAGCATTGTTCAACAACGAAATGATACCAGAAATGATGACTCCAAACCAGAGATGGAAAATAAACCAGCTAAAAATGATAATATTCCATGGTCGAATCCGAATTTACTTCAAATTCCCTCGTCAATTCGCAAAAAAAAAACGATGAAATTCAAGGGTTTCGAACCTGTCGAGCTCGTATTCTTCTTCGTCTTCGTCGTCTCTGTCTCCTTACAGTTCCTCAGTTTAAGAGTATCGCACAGGGATGCAAAAAGAAAGCGATCAAATTTTCCGAGAAAATCGGTTCCAAAAGTCTTCAAACAAGAACCGCTTGTTGAGAACGAGACTGGGTGTTTTGAATTCTCAAAACTTTCTTGGATTTTCCCGGCAGCCAAGCAGAAGAGACTTTGAACGGTAGCTGCCGAAAATAAAGGCATAGAATCGGAGAGTATTTAGGGTGTTTCTGAATTGTCGAACTCGAGGTGATTTTTTTGCCACAATTATTAACACTTTTGACCTTATATTTTTGCAATTTGTAAAATCAACCCACATATTAAGAAAATTGTACAAAGAGGCCCAACTTTTGGTTACCTCACCTTTCCACCAACCATTAGACATGTAATCATTTAAAATTAATTCACCGTTTCTCTATTCAATTAATAAATCAGAAAATACGGCATTATCTTCATCTCGTTTTGGTGTAATTATTCACGGATAGTACGAATTCCCAGAATATCATGTAATAATTTGTCTAATGTAAACATAATATATTATTTATAATTCTTGTTAATGTTTTTCATTTTTTTTCTCTATGGATTGTAAACAGAATTATAACACCAATATAAAACAAGAACAACATATAACAACAAGAGTAATAAAGAAAATCTAGAGATGGTTAAAGAGACATTCAATATTGTGTTTATGGAGATTGACCGATTGATTTTTTAGCCGTAAAGACCGGACATATCCATTATCCATGCACCATCTCCGACTTCCATTCAAATTAGGTTGTCAACGGAAAGAAGAAAAATCTTCAAATAATTAAATTCAAGGTTCTTAGGTATATATAGAAAACTATAATTTAATTTTTAGAGGTATATATATCACCAAACTAATACACATGAGATAAAATAATAATTAGAAATACCGGGTAAATTCCAAAATGGGTTGTGATAGTTGGGAAAATATAAATATGAATGTGAGATGGATGTTACAAATGATATGGACAAATCAGCAAAGATCATTCCAAAAAAAAAAAGAAGCTAAAATGTCCCTTTTAGGGAAGAAAGAAAAGTAGAGGGGTCAAATCTCGAAATAAATAAGAAAGCGGTTGGTATATATAAAAATTAAAAAGAGTATATAAGGAATGGTTCAACGAGAGAGGGCGGTTCGCGTGGTCGGTCTCTCATTTGTCATGTAGGGCCTCTCGTGGGCTCTTTTGCGGTCAGCCAGCCGGCTCCCCCTTTTGTTTTTCCTTATTCTACTAAATTACTCATCTACCCCTCTTCTCTCTCTCCTCTCTCTCTTTTAAATTTTCGTTTTTAAAAAAATCTTAATTGAGGGGTTCATATATTAAACTAGATTCTTATGTGTTATTACTAAGTATAGTCCATAGTTTTATTAAAAACATGCATTGATTATATTTTTTGTTGGTTGGAAAAAAATATATGAAAACCCAAATCTATTTCAAGGTTAGTAATCATCAAGTACAATGTTTTTCATATTTTTTTTACTGGTTGAAATGTATAAAACTGGTCACATATATTTTAATAGTTCCTCGATACAAAATCATACATATATCATGTAATATATCTGGGAAACAGATCCATCATCCACATGATTAAAATCACTTTCATGAATACTAGGGATTTTGTGGCATTAATGGTAAAATGGTAGTTGACAGACGAAACAAGGGGCAAAGTTGGAAATGAGACAAAAACGACGGCGTCCGCCAGAGTTGGCTTTCGAAAATGCGGCCCCCACTCTCCACTTCAATACACTAAAGATTCTCTCTCTCCCCCTCTCCCATCTCTGTATTTTGCATTTCCATTCTCTCGTCGTCATCATCATCTTCTTCTCTTTCTTTCTCCATTTTATTTTTTCGATTTCGGGAAAACAGTGAACTATTAAGGCAACCCTCGAAGAAGAAGAAGAAGAAGAAGAGGGATAAGGAGAAAGCGTAGAAAAAACAGTACGTCGGATTCAGCTGCAGGCAAGCACTTTCACTTTTCCTCTGTTTTTTTAAAAGTTTTTTTGGTTGATTTGATGTTTGATCATGCTCGTTCTACTCTGTTTTGATTGTTTTGGATTCTGTTTGCTTGAATTCTGATAGATCGCAAATCGCTTCAGATCAACAGTCGTTGTTTATATATGATGGGTGCTTCCGTATTCGAAATCTGATTGTTTCGTTTGCCTTTTTTTTAAAATCGAAATTAGTCACTATTCTTTTACCTTCTTTTTTTTGTTCGTTTTATGCTTTGTTACGATCCTGGGATACATCTTATGAGTAGCGATTTCCCGATCGATTTGATGATATCGTGGTTTTCCGTTGAATGCTTGATTGGCTTCCACCGATATTCAAAACTCACGATCTCTCTGATTCCGGCGCCGATTGAGCAAAGCTTGTTCGATCCTTTCTCTCCGTGAGTTTATTTTCATTTTGTTTTGAAAAAAAACTTGTGTAATTAGTTTCAAGAGATTGAAGTTGAATTCTCGATTTGCTACCCACACTTCTTCTCGGCACTCAGATCACTTGCTAAAATCATCGCCCGCACTAATAATCAAAACCCATACATGTTAAGAACAAATCTTAAGAAGGTGAGCGATGCTTGAAATCGATTTGGAATGTTTTTTTTTATTATGGTAAATCCCCTCATGTTTAATGGTGCTAATCATGCTTAGGCTAAAGATCTAACAACCAGTGTTAGGTTTACCTTGCACTTTCCAGAGATGTCTTTATCGAAAAGCCATCAGTAACGTATGAAAATTCCTCTTGAACCGGATATTCTCTATAGTTTGATCTCATTTTGAATCCCGGATAATTTAGTCTGGTTTGGTGCCTAACAGCAATTAAATAATTATTAAGAACACAAAAATATGGAATTAAACAGACACCAAAAAGGACCCCTTGTGCTGCAGGGATTGATCTCTGTCTCTTCCCTGAGTTCTTCCCTTTTTTTTTCCTGTCCCATACGTTTAAATTTTCTAGAACCAAAAATATGAATTCAAACCAGTAACAAAAAATTAAATAAAATCGAAAATTTATATAGAAAATAAATGATTTTATGAAGAAAAACTGAATTATATATATTTTTTAAAAACAAAAAGTCGTATAAAAAACCTGTCGTATTTAAAACGCTGATTTGTGATAAAAATAAAAGTAAGGTGCTTTTGAAATTGTGACAAATATCTGAGGAGTTTGATGAGCAGTTCACATCGTCCTTCCATTTTGGTGTAATTGCAGTAAGTTTGGTATTTGACGTGAAAAGCATACCCTTTATATGCTTATTCCATTAAATGCTGTTGACATTTTTTTCACTGCTTTAGGTTTTCCAAACTACAAGTACGTGGAATCTTGAACAGTTCAGCATTCCATTTTCTATCAAACATCTCATGCAATATTCACATGGCTGCTTGCTGTATATATATATACATATCGATAATCTGCAAGTTCACCGGTCTAATTATATCTTTTAAAAAATCAGAGAAATATGGATGAATATTCATCTCCAAATGAAACCTCGGACCTGGGTTAGAAAGGAACGAGTTTTGCTCTTTTCGTTAGTACTTGTTATATATTGTCCGGACGGACGATGACTTAGTTTTTTTAAAATCCTTCTGCATTTTTCAGTCTCCTTGGTTGGGTCGGTAACTATGTGACCAAAAAATTTGAACCACGACAAAAAAGGATAGAACTTGTTATGTTCCGAATAATGTCACATTAGGAATACTTTTGTCTTTGGTCTGACGTGTGGATTGGTTGGTATAACCTACCTACGTATTGTGCCAAACAACAAAGTTAAATATCACATGGGCACATTCACATGTAGACCTTTTGTCTTCTCTGCGTGATTTTTGTATTCCCCGTTAACTTTTTTTTTTGTCGTTATGATCCTAAATAACTTAAGATCTATCTCTGCTTTTAAAAATAGTAAACTAAAATGGATTAAATGAAAGAAAAAAATGGTCTTAATCTTCTTTGTTTATACAATTTTATATAACTTCTGGGAATTGGGTTATCTTTCTTGCAAGCTACTGTTTCTTTGGTATGGTACACGTGTTGATGGAGGAAGAGTCATAACCCCCTGCATTTACTTGTTTGTTTATACTAATAATGATTCTCGGTGTTTCTCTTTCTCTTAAATTATAGTAGTTGGAAAGTCAACAGAACAGCATTTGATTTCTTGTTCATGCAAGAAACCGGAACTTCAAATAATTCAACAATGCCCTCTGTTTTGTTAACTGTTTGAAACAACTGATTAACCTCGTTCATAAGTCTGTTTATCTTTGAGTTTCTTCTCATTCGAGATTCTCCCCGTTTCCGACAGTTGTGGAACAAGCTTAGTTTGGAACTGTTAGATCATAAGATGGAAGAAGCAACACAGGTGAGTTCCGAGATCCCTGCGGCCGTGAAAGGTGCTGCCGAGGAACCAAATACTGTTGATGTTCCTGTTAAGGTATTGATCTTTTTTGTATTTATATAGATTCCATGATTCTCAGCAGTGATGATTCAAGTGTTCAATGGAATAATTATCTGTTTGATCATAAAACTTTGAGGGTTTTGTGTGAACCTCACGTAAGATTTTAACTCTTTTAGCATTGGATTGTGTAATATGGAATCCATGTATGCCGTCCAAGCTTCTTGCATAGGTTTCAAACTGGGAAGCTATCTAGGTATTGTGACGATTTTTATTACAGGCTGCTAATGGAGAATTGCCAAAGGAAGAGAAAATGGCTGCAAAAGAAGATGAAGATACAACTCTTGATGGGGAATTCATAAAAGTTGAGAAGGAAGCCATAGATGCCAAGGACGACTCTGACAAAATGGAGCATGCTCCTGTGGAAGAGCCAAAGGAAGTTTCGCTCGAGAGGAGCTCAAGTGGTTCACAGAAAGAATTACACCAATCACAAGAGAAGGTGAAAGATCTGGAACTCGAGTTGGAGAGAGTAACTGGAGAACTGAAACGGTATGAATCTGAAAATACCCGGGTGGCGAATGAGCTTTTGTCTGCAAAAGAGAAGTCCGAAGAAACGGCTAAGAAACATGAAGAGCTCGAGCTTGCCAACAAGAAGCTGCAGGAGCAGGTTGTTGAAGTGGAAGAGAAACACAGCTCCCAGCTGAAGGCTTTGGAAGATGCTTTACAATCTCAGGATGCCAAACATAAGGAACTAACCGAAGTGAAGGAAGCATTTGATGGGTTAGGTATTGAGCTTGAGATCTCGAGAAAAAGGATGATAGAGTTGGAGGAAGCGCTCAGTCGGTCAGCTGGGGAAGCACAGAAATTTGAAGAGCTGCATAAACAAAGTGCTTCTCATGCTGAATCTGAGCTGCAGAGGGCTTCAGAGTTTGAACAAAAGCTTGAATTGGCGAAAGGAAGCGTGAAAGAGATGGAAGAAAAAACGGTGTCCCTGCAGCAGGAACTCAAAGAGCTGCAAGATAAGATTGCTGAAAATGAAAAAGTTGAAGCAGTTCTGAAGAATGCTACAGTAGAATTAGCTTCCCTTCAAGAGGAGTTGGCACTTTCAAAATCTCAACTTCTGGAGACAGAACAAAAACTGTCTTCAAAAGAAGCGGCCATTGATGAATTGACCCAGGAACTTGAGCAGAGGAAAGCTTCTGAATCTCAGTTCAAAGAAGAATTATCGGCTCTTGAGAACTTGGTTGGCCAAAACAAAGATCTTCAGGCTAAAGTCTCTGAACTGGAAGACTTAAACTCAAAGCTCAATGAAGAACTCAAGGAGAAGGACAAGTTAGATTCTTTAATGAAGGACTACGAAGAACAGGTCAGAACTGCAAATGAGAAATTGACCGAGGCATTGAAAGAAAAAGAAGCGCTTGAAGTAGCCGTGACCGACCTCACAATTAATGCAGCAAAACTGAAAGAGATCTGCGGGGAAGTGGAAGGAAAGCTGAAAGTTTCAGATGAGAATTTCACTAAGACTGATGCTCTTCTGTCTCAAGCTTTGTCAAACAATTCTGAGCTTGAACAGAGACTGAAATCACTGGAGGAGCAACATAACGAATCTGGAGCTGCAGCCACAGCAGCTAACCAAAAGAATCTTGAGCTTGAGGATATGATTCAATCTTCAAACAAAGCAGCGGAAGAAGCTCAACTAAAATTGAAAGAGCTAGAGACGAGGGTCATCACAGCTGAGCAAAAGAATGTGGAGCTCGAGCAGCAAAGAAACTTGCTGGAATTAAAAAGCAGTAACACAGAAAAAGAACTGAAAGAATTTTCTGAGAAAGCATCCGAACTAAAAGCTGCTTTGGAAGTGGCTGAGGAGGTGAAAAAACAGGTGACTGATCAACTGCAGGAATACCAAGAAAAGATAACCGAGCTGGAATCGTCATTGAACCACTCTTCAACAAGGAATTTGGAGCTCGAAGAAGAAGTGAGGAATGCATTGCGGAAAGGTGCAGAGCATGATGACCGGGCCAATATGAGCCACGAGCGCAGCCTTGAGCTAGAAGGTCTGTTCCAAACATCACAGTCAAAATTAGAAGATGCTGAGGGAAAAGTGAAGGAGTTAGAGTTGCTACTCCAGACAGAAAAATACAGAATTCAGGAGCTTGAGGAGCAGATTAGCTCGCTGGAGAAGAAATGTGGTGAAACCGAGGCAGATTCGAAAGGGTTTTTGGGTCAGGTGGCTGAGCTTCAGACCAGACTGGAGGAATTCCAAGAGAAAAACTCAAATCTTGAAGCTGCTCTAAACATTGCCAATGAGAAAGAGAGAGAGCTGACGGAAAATCTGAATGCTGTGATGGATGAGAGAAAGAAGCTAGAAGATGCAGTTAATGAGTACAGCGAGAAGATCGTCGGGTCTGAGGATCTGTTAGCCGTTCTCAGGAACGAGTTGAATGTCACACAAGAAAAGTTGGAGAGTATTGAGAATGATCTGAAAGCTGCTGGTCTAAGGGAAGGCGATGTAATGGAGAAGCTTAAGTCAGCTGAAGAGAGACTTGAGCAACAAACAAGAGCATTGGATCAGGCTACAACAAGAAGCACGGAACTTGAAGATTTGCATCTATCTTTAAGTAGAGATTCAGAGCTTAAACTTCAGAAGGCAATGGAGGATTTCACCAGCAGAGATTCAGAGGCCAAGTCGTTGTCTGAGAAACTGAAAGATCTTGAGGACAAAATAAGATTATGCGAAAAACAGTTGGCCGAAGCATCCATGAATTCTTCTTGTCTGAAAGAAGAGCTCGATCAGACATTGGAAAAACTTGCTTCTGCAGAAACCGCTAACGCAGAACTCAAAGGTGAGATTGTCCGGGCACAAGACAAAGCTTCACAGGCATCCTCAGATAGCGAACTGTTGGCAGAGACAAACAACCAGCTCAAGATCAAGATTCAAGAACTTCAGGATTTGCTGGATTCTGGTGTTTCTGAGAAGGAAACTGTGACGAAACAACTGGAAGAAGCAACCGAGAGGTTCAGTAAAAAAGGAGCAGAGGCCAAGGAATTGATCGAACAAGTAAGAGCCCTTGAATTCCACGTAGAGGAGTATAAAAAGCAGGTTATATTAGCATCAGAAGTAGCTGAAAGTAGAAAGGTGGAGCTAGAAGAGTCTTTACTGAAACTTAAGAATCTCGAAGCCATTGTAGAAGAGTTCGGAGCCAAATGCAGCGGCCTCGAGAAAGAGAGCGGGGCTTTGGCTGAGGTGAATCTAAAGCTCAACCAGGAACTGGCCAGTCATGGGTCAGAGGCCAGCGAGTTGCAGACAAAACTTTCTGTCCTCGAAGCTGAGAAGGCCCAAACTGCCAAAGACCTTGAATCTTCAAAGACAGCCATAGAAGATCTAACAAAACAGCTTACTTCTGAAGGAGAGAGATTACAATCACAGGTAGAGACAGCAGAATATAAACTTTTCAATTACCATCAATAGGTTTTCTATTTTGTTGTTTAATCCGATCTTATGGAAAATTATCGTTTGTGCTGCAGATTTCTTCCCTTGTGGAGGAGAACAACCAACTCAACGAGGTGTATCAGAGCACGAAAAATGAACTCCAATCAGTGATTGCACAGCTTGAAGAACAACTCAAAGCACAGAATTCTAGTACGGATGCTCTGGTAGCTGAAATCGAGAAGCTCAAAGCCGAGGCAGCTGAAAAGCCTGCGTTGCAATCACATCTAGAAGAACTGAAAAAGCAATTGACAGAAGTAGAATCCCGGTTGAAAGAAGAGGTAATGGAGTTATTATCAGGGACATAATGTAAGACATGACAGTGTGTGTTTATTTATCGGTTCTACCAGTTTACTGAATTTTCAGCGTTTATTGCTTCTTCCAGGTTGAAAATGTGAAAGCTTCCGCTTCGGTAAAAGAGGCAGAATTGACCTCTAAACTGCAGGAACATGAGCATAAGGCCAGCGACCGGGATTCTCTCCACGAGCAAGTGCTTCAGCTTCAGAAAGAGCTTCAACTTGCTCAGACTTCTGTTGATGAACTGGTTGATATTCTTTCTTTTCGCTTCCTTCTAACATTAGATAACATCAGAAACTTCAATTCTGATTGGTTTCTTCGTAAATTCTGAATAACTTTATGGAAACAGAAAAAAGCCCACTCTCAAAAACACTCGGAACAGGAAGCAGCTTCAAAGAAAACACAGGAAGAGCTTGAAGCAAAGAAACAGGAAGTTGTCAGGCTCGAATCATCGGTGAAAGAGCTTGAACAGAAAGTAAAGCTTGCAGATGCTAAATCTAAGGTTTGTCAGTGCTAAGTACCCACAACTTACTTGATCTTTGCATACAAAAATCATGAACAATTTCAGCTAAAATCCCTTTGAAATATGATCAAAGTGGACATTTAGTGAATCTGAAAATTAGTTCAAGAGCATTAATGTCGGTCTTAAACCCTCAAAATATGCTCTGCTTATGGTCGGACGGAAAGACGATCTTGCAGGAAACCGAGGCCGTGGAAGTAAAATCCCGAGACATCGGGGGGTTAGCCGTTTCATCGCCTGCGAAAAGGAAGAGCAAGAAGAAGCAAGACGACAACAATGGCGCTTTGTCATCATCATCATCATCATCATCGTCTTCATTGGCTAACAACACAACTCAAATGACTGAAACCTCACCTCTTAATACAATCAAGATCATGGTTGGAGTTGCTTTGGTCTCCATCTTCATTGGTATAATTCTGGGGAAAAAGTATTGAAGCCTTTTTCTCAAAGTATGGTTTTGGTGATTTTGATTATATATTTTTGGGGTTTGATTATATTTTGTATAATGACGCTTTCTCTCCGCAAGTATTTTGATTTTGATTTTTGGGGTCAGGGGATGTTGTATTTATAATCCCTTTGCTTGTATGCCGAGCATGTTTATTTATATATTTATGGTGGGTTTGTTTGGAATGTTTTCACTCTGTATGTGTTTTTCTCTCCACCGGTCAATTTTTTTATAAAAAAAAGTTACCATCACCAAAAAAAAAAACTTTATTAATATGCAATTTAATATTATATTAAGCTACATGGTGGAGTTTATAATACAGAAGATATTATCATATAAAGTGCCAAAACGGTGTCGTTTCGCAAGTCCCCCGCCCCATGCCTTGTTCTATCTCATAATCTGCTAAACCCCTAATCCATGGTGGAGTTTCAGAAAACTCTTCTCCAATAATCTTATCAGAAGCTCATGCAGGGTAAGTGATTCCTCCTGGTTGCTTCCGACCCAATCCCTGAAATCTCCCATTGAACAATTTTGGTGATTCTTCATGGTTTTTTCTCCGATAAAGCCGGATACTTTCGTTTCGTGTGCTAAGGTTGTCTAAAGTTTGGTTCCTGAACTAAAATTTGGTAGATTTTTCTGGGATTTTCACTGTGGAACTGGGAACTGATCTGGGTCAAATTATAATTGACGATAGTTCCAAAAGTTTCGATCTTTTGGTTTCTGTTGTGTCCTGGACATTGGGTTCTTACTGGAGTTTCACTAAGAGGGTTATTCAATTGGTACTGAGACTTTGTTTGGATATTTGATTAAGGCAAAACTAAGGAATTGTCTCGATTTAGGACCCTATTTTCCTGTCTCTTGCAGATGAGTTGGTCTGAAAGCTAGTTCTCGAATCAGAGCTTTTGGGTGCAACGTGAGCAGAAGGAGTTATGCTACGCGCAAGTTGTTTTGCTCCATCCTCCATCGCCCGAGCGAGTTCCTCATTATTTGTACTGTTTTTCAACACTCCATATGTTCTTTTCCGCCGCCATAGTGTTTCTCCATTTCGACGGTACAATGCTCCTCTCGCTGTCAAAGGGTCCCGAGAGAAACATCCTTCCCTTATGGCACAGAACAGACATCTATCCACCATGTCTCTCACTGCAAAAGAATCGAAAGAGTTGCCTCCTAATAACATATCCAAGAAAGTGAATAAGAAAGCTCAGCGGGATTCTCCTGAAACAATGCTCAAACTGAAACTAGACATGTGCTCCAAAAGAGGTGATGTAGTGGAAGGACTTCGATTGTATGATGAGGCGAGGAGCAACGGTGTGCAGCTTAACCAGTACCATTATAATGTCGTTCTCTATTTATGCTCTTTATCTACTGACCCATCCGTCGAAGCAGCAATGTCTCAGAGCCCAGGACTCCAGAGGGGTTTCGATATTTTCAGGCAGATGATTGCTGACAAAGTTGTTCCAAATGAAGCCACGTTCACGAATGCAGCTAGACTTGCTGTTGCATTAGATGACCCGGAAATGGCTTTTGACATGATTAAGCAGATGAAGGCTTTTGGTGTCCAACCGAAGTTGAGATCTTATGGACCAGCACTTTTCGGTTTCTGTAACAGGGGTCTTGCAGATAAAGCTTATGAAGTTGATGCACATATGGTTGAATCTGAGGTGATTGCCGAGGAACCCGAGCTCTCTGCCCTTTTGAAAGTTAGTGTTTTCGCAAGGAAGGGGGACAAAGTTTACGAGCTGTTGCAGCGGTTGCGAGCCTCAGTCAGACAGGTCTCTGAACCGACCTTTGGAACTATCGAAGAGTGGTTTAAGTCTGAAGATGCAGCAAAGGCTGGAGTGAAGGAATGGGATGTGGGTCAAGTAAGGGACGGTGTGGTGAGGGGTGGTGGAGGATGGCATGGGCAGGGATGGCTGGGGATTGGCGGATGGAATGTCACGAGAGCAGAGATGGATGAGAACGGTGTCTGTAAATCTTGCAAAGAGAAGCTTGTCTGTGTCGATATCGATCCAATGGAGACAGAGAACTTTGCCTCGTCTCTGTCCAAACTGGCCTGCAAGAAAGAAGTCAAGGCTCATTTTAATCAGTTTCAGGTATTTTCACTCCAGGTTGCATTTGATTGCGGTTAATCAGTTTATTTCAGATATCTTTGTTATCCCGTGATATAAACAAATCGTAAAACTTTAAAATCAACAACTCACTTGCATTCTAATCAAGCGTTTTGAACGGATGAAAGCCAGTTGAAGATGTTTGCGTTCTTTTTCTTGGTGTATGACACTGGGACTGATTTCAAGGTGAACTGGCACAGGAATGGCTGAAAAAGCATGGACCATTTGATGCAGTGATAGATGGGGCGAACATGGGCCTCGTCAACCAGCGCAGTTTCAGTTTTTTCCAGGTATAAAAAAACACGCTAATACGCAAAATTAACTGCTGAAAACAAAATGCTTTGGCAAATATTTATGGTTTTATCTAATTTTGCAGGTAAACAATGTTGTCAAGAGATGCCAAGAGATGAGTCCATCGAAGAGGCTACCACTTATCATATTGCATAGGAGCCGTGTAAACGGAGGTCCAGCAACCAACCCCCAAAACAAAGCCCTGCTTGACAAGTGGAGGAAAGCCGGTGCCCTTTATGCCACTCCTCCTGGTTCAAATGATGATTGGTACTGGTTTGTTTTTCCTTGTACATGGGAGATCATGATTTATACTGTGGAATCATTAGTACATGTGTGTAAGATTCATTTTTGCAGGTACTGGTTGTATGCTGCAGTGAGTTGCAAGTGCTTACTGGTGACGAATGATGAGATGAGAGACCATCTTTTCCAGTTGTTGGGTAATAGTTTCTTCCCGAGGTGGAAGGAGAAGCACCAGGTCTCGTCTCTTCTCTCGTGGATCGATTGTGATGAATCTCATAGGATAAACTCTCTGTTCTTGGTTGAGTTTTTGACTTATCAAAAACCATGTTAACCATTTTTATAGATCGAAAGGCCAGTTTCGATGTAAGAAATGTGAATCCATGTCTGGATATATCGCAGGTTCGGATGTCTGTGTCGAGAGAGGATGGTCTTAGGCTGCATATGCCACCTCCATACTCCATTGTTATACAGGTCGCATGTCTTTCAGCCTTGTCCTGTTTTTTTTGCTTCCAAAAACACAGTAGTTAAAGCTCTCTGTGTTTGGTTCATGATGCAGGAGTCGGAAGATGGAAGATGGCATGTTCCAATGAGTGTGGAGGATGACCTTCAGACATCGAGACAGTGGCTCTGCTCCACACGAGCCATGAGCAGCCGCCTCTGAGATTCTCTTCATGGCCCGGACCTGTCCTGTCTGATGCTCTCAGTTCAGTGGAATATATTACGTTGTAGCATCGATTTTTTTCAGCATAAATGAGATGAAATTGTTGAATCCATGTATTTAAACATGGATGAGGTTTTTACATTAAGACAACGATGTGGAAGCACATACTTCTTGTATTTTGCATTATTCACCCCTATGTTTCTCATTATTTATAATATTGACATGTAACTAATAATTAGCTCAATCCAGTCCAGACTACTTTGGGATTAATCATGGAATGTCTGCGGATGCATTAATATAATATATTATGTTCATAACAACAAATCCCATGGACAAAAATTAAATAAATAAATCTAGGAATTCCATAGAACACAATCATGAGATTACAAATACACAAAGATATAATATATTATGTATAGGTATCATTGCATAACTCGTAGTGCAGAATCCTCCTCAGAAGCAGGCATCGAGGACACAACAGCAACACAGAGCCGCGAAACTGCATGGCCCAAAAAACAGAAATTAAAATTTTAAAAAACTGAATGGGCCGTTATGGGCCTCGGCCCAAATCAAACTTTCACTATAGTTTACACCGGTTGGGATTAAACCGAAACCCGGTCGTCATCTGACCAAAACCCAATGGGGCCGGTTTGAACCGGTTAAGAATTGATGCAGAGAGGAAAACTTACCAGCCTTTCCAAAAGCCATCACCCCTGGACTTGGTCTCCACTTTGGAAGGACCCACCGTCTGATGGTACGTGTCCACCGTCGGATAACCGGCCGGCGGTGGTTCTATGTAGGGCCCCCTCGACACCGGCGGTGGAGGATACGCTCCTATACATACATGATACATATATATATCATTATGTTAGTTTTCATTTCATTATGTTGGTTTGAGCAAGTACCCGAATCGTTCTTAGAATTGAATTAAGCTATTATGTTACAATATCAATATAATATTTCATATATCTCTAACACGTCGGACCAAATTATTAGATAAACAGATCAAAGTATCATGGCAGAAATATGATCAGGGTGATTAAATACTTGCACGTGTACTTGTAAAAAGGAATTCTATAGAAGAGAAGAACAGAAGACAAGTACCTGCAGTTTGGTTCTGACCGGATTGGCTCATCTTCGAACAGGTCTCTTGATTTGGAAGGCGAAGAAGATTGTATGTATATATGTATGTATGTGTTGTATGAGCGTTTATATCGACGATATCCTTTACAATAAAAGCATGTTGGCGTGGATATATATATAGAGGTTAAACCCGCGTGAGGAGGAGAGCATTACGGCTACGTCAAGGTCGTGTATATTTTTAATAAATGAATAATATAATGAGAGCATCGAGTTCCATTTATTGGATAAATTTCCTAATGTACCCAAAAGTAGGGCTGGACGTTTCGATTCGGTTTTTTGGGTATTTTTTCCGACCCAAAACCGCTGTTATATTCCGAACGATATCATTTTTAGAGAACCGAATTTTTCCAGAACCGAACCGAACTTTAAAAATCCCGAAAAACCGAATATTTTTAAAGAAAATCTATCATTTTTTTAATAAAATCCGAAACCGAACCGATACCGAAACCGAACCGAATACAATAAAAAAACCCGATTGGTTCCTATTTTTATAAAACCGAAAAAACCGAACCGATCCATTTCGTTCCGAACCCGAACCGTTTCCCGAAACGCCCACCCCTACCAAAAAAGAAAAGGTCATCTCTTACGGCCTTATGTTTTTGACGTGTGGACTTGGGTTGCGTAGCCAAGTAGAAAACGTGAGCGTATTTGCTTAGTATTTGAATAATGCATATTATATTATCGTTTGTGATTATTAAAATAATTAAATATTTTTGGTAGAGTTTACATTTCGTGTCCGAAGGAATCGAGGAGTTTATTGAGTCAATGGAGAAGATCTCTTCCTCATTGTCCAGAAAGCTGCGTAATACCTGTTCTGCAGCACACAAACACACCACAACAACGCCTTATTACATTCCCCTTTTTGAAACACAAACACCAACAATTCTTCAGATTTAGCAACATGCAGCCTCAACCTCGTCCCCGTGTGTTTTCTGGAGGCATTGCCTCAGTTTCTTTCTCCTGAGGCCTGAGTACCTCAGACTCGGGGTGAGATCCGGTACCCGAGGGTGTCCGAACCCACAAAAAGTTCTGAAATTTCATTGACTTGCGCTGACTTTTGGGGTATATTGGTAATTTTACATGAAAATAGGCATAGGGAACACTAGATATAAAAGTAATTTGACTTCTACACGATACCCACGAGATAACATGTCGTGGTTCGGAAAAACCTAAACCCGAACTCAGGGTCCAGGTTTCTACCCTCGCTGAACCCGTTTTTTTTTATCTCGTTTGTGGTGAATACTTGCGAGCTGGTTCCCGAAAACCCGCGGGTCTCGGGTAAAAACAACGCCCACCTAGTGTTGTCAAATGGCGGCCATGGCCCCGCCATGGCGGGATTGCGTGGCGGATTTCAAGGTAGACGCCATGGTATTTCTATAGCGTGGTGTGTATGGCGTTTTCGCCATTGCGTGCGCCGTATCGGGTTTTCAATTGTGCGTATTAAAAGAGAAAGTAAAGACCAGAAAAAAAAAAAGGAAAACACACAAATGGGAGATATCGAGTAGTTTAAGATTTTGGAAATAGAAAAATTGAAGAAAGAAAGAGAAACAAAATCTGGAAAGAGAGAGTTTCTGAAATAGAAAGAAAGAGAAAGAAATCTGAAGAAGAAAGATTGCAGAAGAAGCTGAAGAACAGAGAGAGAGAGAGAGAGGACACGAGGAAGAAAGGTTGCAGAGTCGCGACTCGAGAGAGAATCGATATTCGATCATCATCTGTTGGTATCTATCTATGTGTTTTTCTATTTTTTTTTGTTGACGATGAGAGAGACAAACTCTCTTCTCTTCCGTGAGAGAGACAGTAGAAATCTTTGCCATGTTCTTCTGTCATGTTCCACTCATCTATTATTTATCTATTATTATTTTTGTATTGCACATCTTTCTGCTACCTAGCACTAGCATCTGTTACAATATGTACGTAATTTATAGGATCATTAATAATTTATTTATCCATGTGTTTTCATAATTTCGATATTTTTCAGTGATAATGTCAAACAAAAGCGGGCAATGTTCACAATCTGCATCTACAAATGTTGCTCCTAATGCAAATGTTACTCCTAAAAAAAACTAGAAAAGATCCCGGATGGAAATATGTTGAAGTTGTAGAAGAAAATGATACAAATACTCTCGTATGCAAGTTTTGTAGAAAAATTATGAAAGGGGGTATTACTAGAGTAAAGGAGCATCTGATGGGAAAGAAAGACAATACTACTATGTGCGAATTATGTCCGAAAAAAGTACGAGAAGAAATGAGGGAACTTCACAAGAGAAAGAGAGTTACTGGTTCTATGGTTTGTTCCAACGAGCCTATGGAACTTGATCTTGATGATTTGGGTTTTGGATTATCTGATGAAGAAGAAAATCCACAAGCAAAACGGAACAAAAAGGTTGATCTAAAAGGTCCTATGGATTTGTTTGTTAGAAGACTCGAAACAATCATTGCAAGGAACAAGAAAGAAAATATGAGACAATAAAATATCAAAGAGGTGTGCGACAAAGATTCTATTGGTGGAGTTCACCAATTTATTGCAAGATGGTGATATCAATCTGGGATTCCATTCAATAGCATTAAGATGCAAAGTTTTCAAGATATGTTACATGCTATTGGACGTTTCGGCCCTAACCTTCCAGCTCCATCTTACCACCAAATAAGAGTGTCATTACTCACCAAGGAGGTTGAATACACCAAATTATTGATGAAACAACATCAGATTCAATGGGAGAAACATGGTTGCTCTATTATGTCGGATGCATGGACGGATAAGAAACAAAGATGTTTGATTAACTTCTTGGTCAATTCTCCGGCTGGCACAATGTTTATGAAATCGATAGATGGATCTAGTTTTGTGAAGACCGGTCAAAAGTTATTTGAGATGTTGGATTCTCTTGTTGAAGAGATTGGAGAAGATAAAGTGGTTCAAGTGATAACCGATAATGGAAGCAATTACGTCTTAGCGGGGAAGATGTTAGAGGAAAAAAGATCACACCTCTTTTGGTCTCCTTGTGTTGCTCATTGCGTGGACTTAATCTTTGAAGACATTGGAAAAATTTCTTTGATCAAGCTCACAATTAAAAGAGTCATATCTGTTGTTGGATTCATTTACAACCACTCTAGTACATTGAGTTTGCTGAGATAATTCACAAACAAGAGGGAATTGGTAAGATATGTTGTCACTCGTTTTGTCACTTCCTATCTTTCATTGGAAAAACTTTTTCAGGAGAAAGATCATCTTAGAAGAATGTTTACCTCCAATGAGTGGAGAATAAACAAGTTGGCGAAAGGAGCAAAGGGAAAGGAAGCTGAAAAAATTGTCATTATGCCTTCATTTTGGAGTAATGTGAAATACACTCTGTAATGGCTCTGCTTGTTCAAGTGCTTCGACTTGTGGATAGTGAAAAGAAAGCAGCAATGCCCTATATTTATGAAGCAATGGACAATGCAAAAGAAGTCATTGAGAAGTCTTTTACCAATGACGAAGGCAAATACAAAGATGTAATTGCAATCATCGATACGAGATGGGATTGTCAGCTTCACCGTCCATTGCATGCTGCTGGTCATTATTTGAATCCCGAATACTTCTATAGCAATCCTGGACTTGAGAGAAATATGGAGGCGGTTGATGGATTGTACCAGTATATTAGGAGATTAGTGTCATCTCAAGATGTCCAAAATAAAATTTTGGGCGAGCTTTCGGCTTATAGATCAGCTAGTGGTCATTTTGGAATTGACTTTGCGATAAGACAAAGGAAGACCATCTCTCCGGGTAAGAAGCATATAAATATTTGCATTTTAATTTTTTTATTTTAAAACTAATCTAAGATTCTAAGTTTTTTATATTTACTTTTCTTGGTTTTGTAGCTCAATGGTGGAAAAATAATGGATGTTCAGCTCCAAATTTGCAAGATTTGGCAATCAAGATTTTAAGCTTGACGTGTAGTGCTTCAGTGTGAACGCAATCGAAATGTCTTTGAGCAAGTAAATTATTCTTCGATTGGTTTGGTATTTTTTATATTTAATTTACCTTAAAATACTTATTTTATAATTTTATTATTTGTGCAGATTCATTCTAAAAAAAAAGAAATAGGTTTGAACACAAAAGGTTGCATAAGTTGGTTTATGTAAAATATAACCAAGCTCTTGTTCGGAGGTACAATATTAAGGATGAGATCGATCCGATTACACTAGACGAAATTGATGTGTGTAATGAATGGTTGGTTGGTGAAATGTACAATGGTGAACATGATGGTGGAAACGATTTGGTTTCGAAGGTGATAATGGATTAGATTGGGAAACCGTTTATAGAGAATCGAGACTTGGAGAACCTAGGGCGAATACAAGGCAACAATCTAGAGGAAGAAAGAATGCTTCAAGTTCAACATTGTCTACTTCTAATGGTAAGACAAAAGGAAAAGGTATCTTGATTGAAAAAGAATTGAATGGTAACGAGGAAGAGTTAGAAGAAGAAGATAACTTGGAAGATTCAGAAGGAGAAGAAGAAGGAGATTGCACCACTAGCCAATAATGAAGAGTTTGATTACATCGGATTAGAGTTTACCGATGATGATGCTTGATTTGTTGTTTTACTTTTAAAAACCATCTTATTTATCTTTTGTTATGCTAGACATTTATCTTTTTATGCTTATATGGATTGATATTTTATTATATTAGTCTTAATGTTATGTTATGATGATGCTTTATTTTGTTTATCTTTATAAATATAATATATTTTTTGATCCGTCATAATATCCACCGTGGCCCCGTCATAAATCTATGGCCTATATTTTGCTTGACGCCATGGACGGCCCACCCTAATGATAACTCAAGCCAAGAGCATCCATATCAACCGACAAGTGAGTACCAATGGATGGGTTTTGATCCCAGACGTGATTACTTTGAAGAAGGGTATATGATACTAACCTGCATCATAGACCGAGGATTCGTCGTATACGTTGTTTCGACAGTTCTTTCCTTCTGCAAATATTATGACGAAACAAGAGATTTTATACTCTTACAAAAATGTAAATCAATGTATCATGGAAGAAGTCGTCTCATGAGTGGAAATTACCTCAATCTCGAACCCATAATGGAAAGCAACTCTCTTTACGTCCTCTAAACTTAGCTCAATAGACATCTCCTACAGAGCAACCAACCATACCATGTCATGATGCTTAAGTTATAAGATGGTATGATGAGATCTTTTGATAGCATAAAATGCTTACATCTTCATGCCCATACATATCCGCAAAATGATATAATAGAGGTCCAAAGTTTATCCAAACCTGTTGACAATATAATAGAATGATTAGATCGATGGAACGAGAACCTAAAGAATAAAAAGCCAAAAAAGAAGAAAGAGTAACCGATAAACTCACTCCTCCATCCTTCAAAACCTTGGATATGGTTTCTATATACTCGATAACATTATGAGCCGTATCAATGAAAAAGCATGTCACAACTGCATCCCACATCCCTAAGGTCCAGACATTATAGGCATAACTTAGATGCATATACACAGATATATATGCATACTACAGATATATATGTATATATACGCATGCTTTTCTCAAGGAATATACAAGGCCAGTAGTAACGGTCTCCTACCTAATTGACTCGGATCATTGTATACTTCAACAAAGTCACCACCACACATAGAGAAGCCTTCTGTTATTCCTGCACTGCTACCAGTACATTTTTGCACGATGCACTTTTTAGTAACTAAGAGATGATTACCGTAATCAAACCAAGATCCAATACGTAATATGAAATATATCTTCCTTTCCTTCTATGATAAATAAAAGAAAAGATGTAATCTACCAATTAATTCCTTTAGTTTTCAGTGATAAAACAAATGGTCTCTAATCTACAAACTAACAAAATATTTCGAGCGAAACCAAAATCAGGTCAGCCATTAGTTGATCATAGACAACCAGATTGTTTCCTATGAAGATTGCCAGGACTATACAAAAAAAGATACACAAATACCTTGCAGGATGAATATCAGGTATAGAAACAGGCCGTAGTTGATCATTGTCAGAGAGTGAGTTGCAGTTGCTGTGAATCCATGGGTATATTGTCCACTCACCAGCCACTTGCGAACTGGTTACAAAGCAAATTGAAGTAAAATTAGAAAATGGAACAGAAGTCAAAATATGTCTCAACAAAATTCATCTACTCAAACTTAGTCACAGGTTTTAATGAGAAATCCTGGCACAGTAGCATAATAAAAGAAAAATAGAACACTCGAATTACCCAAATGTCTTGAGACGGAAATTCTAAAAATTCAAAATCTCAAAAACGGTAGTCAGTTGCTCGGAAAAATGTAACAGACCTAAGATATTAAAAATTATTAGAGAGATTTTATACGATGATGGTCAAGCAAGTTATAGGAATAGTAAATTAACATAAATCGGGAAAATAAGAAAGTCTTACTGATTAAGAATAAAACTTGAGCATATCATCATGTAGTAGGAAAACTCATTTCCTTGGCTAATGAAACCTGTTCCAGAGTACCACAGTTGTTAGGTTCCTCATTACCAGTTGAATCATCAACAATCTAGCTCATCAAAGGCGTACCTAAACAAGAAATCTCAAGGGCCAACCGTCCAAGTCCGGCTCCGGGGACTAAACAGGCATAAGGGGTGCTGGAAATCATATAATTCACTTTGTAAGCATAGACAAATACACCAACTGCCAAAATGCTGAATCATGAAACAGCTGTCTTGTACTGGTTTGTTAACTCTCATCATAAAATGAAGAACTACCAATTTTATCTGTCTATGCAATCAAGCCTCCACAAAGTCAGTTTTTTATTGGATAGCAAGCAACTACAATTTGAGATTAACAATGAAAAGAACCATATAGCTAAGCATTGGGAAAATTTGTCAAGTGTGTCGACATAACCTCCTGAGTATTTATTGAATCTCAAAAGACAGGAACACAGAAAACAATGTACCTTTTCTTCTGACGATCAGGAAACAAGGAATCAAGCTCTTCAAGGATAAGCTTGTAACATTGATCGCGTTCTTTTTGCCCCTGTCAGATGAATTAGAGTTCCATTTTTCCTTAGTGATATATTAATAAAAGAATGCCTGAGTACATTGAGAAAAGGGCAAAGAAAAGAGAAAACAAAATCGGTTACCTCTGCTGCCCAGTCTCTAACTATATTCCTAATTATACAACGAACCTGTAAAAGAATACAAGAAAACCAAGCAAATTATAACCGAAAGACTTGGTTCAAATAGCCTTACTATCTTTGTCTTTGAACTCTTAAGGCTAAAGAGATACAAAATATGGCAACACAAGATGAACAGAATGAATCGCATCAGCCATACGAAAGACTGAGGGAAAGAGATACCTTATCTAAATCGAAGACCAAAGAGGAGAAATTAGGGA